TTTGGCTGTTTTTCCAAGGCTTTGGAAGGAGCTGAACTACAAACCATGGCACAGTAGCTGTCTTGTAAGAATACTTTAATGCTTACACTGAATACTGATGGCCTTAATTACTGGCTGTTTTTAGAAAAGTCTATTATGTTTATAGTTTTGTTGCATTATCACAGCAAAATGGTACAGAGTACTGAACCTAACTTGATTTTTCCATCAAAAGGCTTGTGTCACATGATTCGAGAGTTGTGCATGTTGCTTACATTTTTGTAATTCAAAGTCTCAGTTTCTTCCTCGTGCAGTTTGAGTCATTCTTGTAAACGAGCTTTAAAGAGAAAGCACCAGATAAAGTACTTTCCTGATACCAAGATCAACAGCAATATTAAAAAATGTGATTTACTGGGACAGTGGTTAAAAGGCCTGTCCAACTACCTCAGCCCAAACCATCACTGTTGCCAGTTTTAAGCAGTTTTACCTAATTATTGGCTAAAGAAATATACAGTAAGCCATTTTCCTCAGGTTTATTTGTAGAAACGGACATTTCACGGTCTAGGCTGGTCTTATCAGACTGTACAGCCTCAGTTTGCTCAGTGATTATAATGGCTGCTGTCATTCATCTGCAGCTGAGTGGAAAAGCAGCATAAGTAGGATGAAGTCACTTCAGCTTCACTCAACAGCATCACTGTTTGACCTGTCATCATTAGACTCAGTCGTCACTCATCACCCACGCTCTGCCGCTCATGCTTCAACAACCTGCCGGGATCCAAGAGCCTGTGAACTCAAACGTGCACGCTGCTGCACTACACTGTGGTAAAAAAAAAAAAAGGTCGCCCTTTGAATCTGTCTGCTTGTTTAAAGCGGTCTGTCGCCGCCTTGGGCCGAGACGCATAAACAGGTGACGCACAACAACCGCTTTCTCACAGTAAGATTTTAAGGTGAGGCTGCGATCTTAAAGAGGATTACGCACTCCTCGTATCCGTTGTAGACCTCGGATTAGGGTCGGATTTTTCTGATTGTGCTCTTTGCTTACAGTGCAATCATCCACTTGTTAAAACGGTGAGAGGGTTTAAAGTCACTGCTGCGTAGGTGGGGTTGAAATGGGAAGGGGGGGTTTAAAGAGACCATAGAAGAGGGCAGTGGGAAAAGCCAGACAAAAGCAGCAAGAGAAAGAAACAAGGGAGGGCTGAAACAACAGGGAGCAGCTCCTTTCATGTGTCCCCTTGATGTAGGCTGCTAACAGCTGTTTTGGCGTGTCAGTGACTGATGGCTGTTTCCTGTTGTGGATATTTTAGAGGGGCAGCTTTGCAGTTTAAGAGCTTTTCTCAGCATGCCCATGCCCACCAGCCCTAGAGGAATTTCCATGCCTCTCCGTGTCTGCATGGAAGCTGGAACAGCGGCCAAATAAACCCCCAGGATCAGGCTGGTAGGAGCTGAGGAGGAGCGGACCTCTCGTGCCCTTGTGGTGCTGTGATTTACAGAGCCGCCGAGGCCTGTAATGAACGCCACAGCTCTGCGGCGCAGTCTAATTCATCTCGGTGTTGAAAAGCTGCCGATTGCCTGGCTCCAAACTAAATCTATAAACCTTGACATTAGGCAGCTGAGTTTTTCAATCCTCGTGCGCTCGTTTGTCTTTGCTCCATCTCTGGAAGTGCTGAGGTGCTTTGTGACGCACAGGAGGATTAGCATTGTGTAGACGCTCTGTGCGATCATTTAATGGAGGGCTGACATTGATGTGAGCTCATAAGAGTCTTGTTTCTTTCTCCCTTTTTTAACTTTTCATGTGATTATATTTCAACAGGCCTTCACCGGTGTCAGCCAGACCCTGACAAGGCCTGGCTGACTGTAGTACCTTACAACGAGGAGAAATGATAAAAGCAGCAAAGAGGCAGAAGAGGGAAAATGAGTGTAAATAACTCCTATTTAATTATCTGTGACTGACTTATGGGGTGTGTGGAATGGGAATAGAGGCCTGAGGCTGGGGCTCTGCTCCACCACATGGGTTTGCTCCAGCTGTAATAAAACCAAGGGGGAAAAAAGTGGATTAAGACAGTTTCATGGGGTGTAGCAGACATGGCATTTAGACCCGAACAGTTAAAACGAGCCTCACAGGCAACATTCCAAGCAGGACAAAATGTTGAAACAAGGATTTCCTTGAGCTTAAAGGTCCACAAACAATGTCTACATGGCATACGTAATGCATGCACACTTCCTCGTTTGTCTTTCTGCGGTTGCCTCTCCCTCCATCTTTGTCATACTAATCCTTTCATGGCCGAGTGTCTGTGTGCGCACCTACAGTAAATGTGCAAAAAAAAAAGAGTCTGGGCTCATAAACATCAACATGCAGGCCAAACTGTACATGATAGCGTCTTAAAAGCGCGTGTTTCTGAAGTTCTGTCAGGGAGCGCGGTGCAGCTGACTGTGCATGATAAATGTGTGTGTCAGAGTCAGAGCTGTGGCTGACAGCCTTATCTCCCCAGTTTAGGTGGGAGATTGTCTCTCTTGTCAGCTCATCACGTCTCACAAGTTAACACTCTTATCCACTCTGCCTACCTGTCTATCTGTCTGTATTATAACGACGCCAGGATAATGGGCACACCCCACCGCCCCCTTTAAGACTGGCGTTTTTATTTTCAACAACTTGCAGGATTGTGTCTCGACGTTGACTCGCTACATTTGAAACGCATTTGCACACAGACATGCAAGCTGTCCGCTTCCACAGCTGTGCAGCGCCGAGTCCTTGCCACAAGCACAGAAAACAAAGCTGCTATTGTCCTCCCCGGAGAAGTTATCACCAGCATGGAGAGGAACGATGAAGAAGAGACGGAGGAGAGAACAGGCCGGTATCAAACCAAATCAGCCGGCCTCGTGTGAAATTTCAGATGACATCAAAAGATGTTTTGTTTTTTTCTGTTGGTTTGTCTGAACAGCAGCACAATCAAGGTATTCATGAGCTGGACCTGTGACAGGTCGAGCAAAATGAACAATTCATCATGTCGTTTAGACTCTGTCAACATGGGGACAGTGTTTTGTGAACAGGCAAATTGTTATTTTTATCATTTTATCCTTGAGTCCACACGTAAACTGTTTCAGAATGAGAAAATCCTGAAAAAGCAGAGCAAAATCCTCTTATTGTTACACCAGATATTCTAAGGAGGGCAGCGCGGGGGTCAGCACTGTCACTTCACATCAGGAAGGCCCCGGTATCGCCTCCTGGGCTATGTGAAGCTTACATGTTTCCTCCCATGCACATACTCTGATGTCCTTCCACATATCAAAAACATGCATGCTAGGTGAATTGGTGGCCCTAAAATTGTCATTAGGTGCGAGTGAGGTGAATGATTCATTAAATAATGGTCAGTCAGGTCATCTGGAAACTTTATTTTTTGTGGAAAAACGTTTCGCTCTCTATCCAGAGGGCTTCATTAGGAGTCCCAAGTAAACTGTTTCCCCACTAAGCAGTACACTTCTTTAGTGGACCAAAAAGTTTTCTGGTTATGAGAT